GTCTGTTGGTGAAAAGGCTAACCGACAATACTGTGATTTAATTGATTGACAAAGAGGTTGTGTTACAAGCAATGTTGCCAGTAGGCTGTTGTCTAATTTAGAGACAGTATTGCTTGCAACATGGCCGTATTTACAGCCAATTAGCTGATATTGCATGTTAGGCGTACAAAACAAATTCTGGGCCATACTAATGATTTCTCCTGAAAGCAGTGTTTTACACGGACCATTTCAAGCATAATGCTACAAAGGACAAGTTTATATTTGTTCTGTGAAGAAAGGTCTCTTCTATAGTAGATTTTTCTGTACAGTGTATATTATTTGTCTGAAATGTTGACATATCATAAATTTAGATCCATTTCCTGTAAAAAATATTATGCTCAGTTTTCCCGAACTTTTTACAGGTTAATATGATAAAAGATGACGGCACGGTGATACACTTCAATAATCCTAAAGTTCAGGCTTCTCTTGCTGCAAACACATTTGCAATTTCTGGTCAAGCCGAGACAAAACAATTAGCGGAGATGCTCCCAGGAATCCTTAATCAATTGGTGAGTGATTCATTTTTGCAAAGTTTCTGGTAAAGTTATTTTTTTCTGCAGGCAATTTCAATATAGCAGATTCAGTGTCTCGTCCAACATTTGATATTCGTTTGGAATGTTGGGGGGGGGGGGTAGACCACAAATTGTGTGTACTGGCAAATACAATATACTGTGGTGATTTACTAAACTGAAAATGGAAATTGCAAACAAAAATTCTGTGTTTAAAGAGTGTTAAAATATATCACAATGAAAAGCTGATATTAATTAACGACTCTCAATGGTACTTTTGTTACTGAGGTATTGGCAGTCTTTAACCAATCTTGAGACGAGGGAAGGGAAAAAAATTAGAAGAAACTGTTACAGTCAAATTTCATTTCCATGAATTGGAATTTTGGTTATTTTATAATAAAATGAACATCTTTATATTGATTTTATCTGTGTATAGTCATGTATTTCCTTGTCAGTTGTTAACACGTTTCATTTATTGCAGGGTGCCGATAGCTTGAGTAATATCCGCAAACTAGCTGAAAAACTGCCAGTGCAGGAAACTGCTGAAAGAATATTACATCCTTCAGATGACATAGATGAAGACGATGAAGATGTGCCAGGTATATGAATAACAATTAACAAGTTCCTCTTATTTCTGTTTATCAAGTCTGCTGTTTAATTGAGATATCAAGACTCTCAGGAATTAAATCAGTTCACAGTAAATAAAGTTGAAAAATATCAGATTATGTAGAAATAATTGCAGTATTATCCTAAATCCTCCAATACATAAACCAAGATTTTTGAGTTTGTGCTGGTTTATTGAAAAACAATTTGCTTTGACCATGCACTTGCACTATAAAGCAAATGCAGTTATTCTTGCATGTTTATACAATATTGTAACAAATAATATTCCACTCATTTCAGATTTGGTTGAAAATTTTGACGCACCATCAAAAGAAGAGGCATAGAAGAGAGAGGGGTTGTCTTTGATTCGTGGGGAGGGGGCTTATTGTATGACTGGGAGGGGCAGTATGGTAAACTTATTTTGTAGAAAGTGTTTTTGTTTTGTACAGCTTAAAAGAAATCTCAATTCCGATGACATTGTTAATGTCGCGTCGTAAATTTGACATTCAATTTGAGTATCAAGAGTACCTATTATGTTGAAATATTATCAATTCTCCTGGGCACAAATTGTGTATTGGGTATATGGGTTCATTGTAAAGAATGTCTGCCTGTACTGTTCACAATAAATTGAATGAACCAATGATGGTAATTGTGTTGTAACTGTTTCTTTATTATGAATAATGCAAGTTAAATAACACCTACTGGTTCTATCAGGCTTGTTGAATCCAGTGCATGCAATTACCCGGTACCTGCAATCCTTATTGGTAAATTGTACACGACTATCTGTGGATGTACATGCCCAAAAAAGTGGTTTTTGAATAGTTAGATGTGTTATCAGTAGCTTTCTGACACACAATGAGTGTTTCTAAACATTTGAGTGGTTTGTCTCCACCCCTGTTTATTTCACAGATTAGTCATTTGCATATGAATGTGTCAGACACAAGGTCACACAGCCACTGAAAAAAAATCATTGATTTTGGTGTTTTCATCTGCCAATTTTTATTGAATTATAGCTATCCCATTCCTTTATTTTTGACTCCCATGTGTCTGTGTGTGTCCGACTATTCCACTGCTATCTCAAGAACCATACATCGGTTTTTGATGAAACTTGGTGCATAGATGCTTTGGGCCAATGCGCAGATTTGATTAGGTTTTGGTAAAAATCCATGCTTGTTAATTGCATAATTTGCATGATAATTAGCTAATTTTTAGCTGTTCTATGACTTCCACTGATATCTAAAGAACCACTCATTGGATTTTGATGAAACTTGGTACATTGATGCTCTGAACATGTGTGCAGATTTGATTAGTTTTTGGTAAAATTCTGTGCATATTAATCACCTAATTTGCATGATAATTAGCTGATTTTTAGCTGTTCCATGATTGTTCCACTGATATCTAAACAACCACTCATTGGATTTTGATGAAACTTTGTACATACATGCTCTGAACTAATGCTAGGTTTTCATTAGTTTTTGTAATAATCCGTGGATACTAATTACCAATTTACATAATGATTAGTCAATTTTCGGTTTTTCCACTGATATCTCAAGTACTAATCATCACATTTCAATGAAACTTGGTACATATATGACACTGCACAGACCTGATAGTTTTTATGGTAATATCAGTACATATTAATTACCTAATTTGCATAATTAATTTTCAGCATTTGATATAAGTAGTTAGCATTACATTTCAATGAAACTTGGTACTTACATACTCAAGGACTATGCAGAGATTGTTTCCGATAAATATTTGTGCATATTAATTACCTAATTTGCATAATTAATTAATTTTCAGCATTTGATATAAGTAGTTAGCATTACATTTCAATGAAACTTGGTACTTACATACTCAAGGACTATGCAGAGATTGATTGTTTCCGATAAATATTTGTGCATATTAATCACCTAATTTGCATAATTAGTTGATTTTTCAGCTTTTCCACGGGTATCTAAAGTACTAATCATCGCATTTCAATGAAACTAGGTACATAGATCCTTTAGGACTATGCAGAGACCTGATTAGTTTTAGGGTAAATAATTGTGCATATTAATTAACTAATTTGCATAATTAATTCTCAGCTTTTCTACTGATATCTAAAGTACTAATCATCACATTTCAATGAATCTAAAATTATGCAGACCCAATTAGTTTCCAGTAAATATTTGTGCAATTAACCAACTTTCACACTGATATCTCAGGTATTAAACATCACATATCAATGAATGTACATGGATGCTGTAGGACAATAGACAGACCTGGATAATTGTGGGTTAAAATCTGTACATATTAATTACCTAATTTGCATAATTAATCAATTTTAAGCTTTCACACTGATATCTAAAGTACTAATTATTCCATTTCAATGAAACTTAGTACAAAGATGCTCTAGGACAATGTACAAACCTAATTAGTTTGGGTAAAAATCTGTTCATATTAATTCCCTAATAAGCATAATAATTCATAATTTTTTGGTTCTAATCACATTTCAATTATACTTGGAAACAGATTTTCTGTTACATTGCGCAGACCTCATTAGTTTTACACTCAAATCTGTTCATATTAATTTTCTGATTTGCATAATTAGTTTTCAGCTAAGTAATTTCGAATTATATTTAATGTGTCTCCAATACTCTCAGCACATGGGAGTTCTTTCTAAGTTAAGCTAAGTCAAAAAAATCTTGGAGTATTTGTAGTTCGTTTTTTTTCTATCCAATCATATGAACAGAAATAACCGAAAAAGAAAAAAAAACAAAAACATCCAAGACGAGAAAATGGTTTGGTTCGAGTGTAAATCTGTGCGTCAAATGAGGTGCATTTGCAAAATCTTTTTACACCCACTCGACAACCAACTGCTACGCAATACTACTGTCCCATTATCAATTTGTATTTAATGGTGAATGTCGTCTGACGCCATGACCAATATTTATCAATTAAGTTTCACTGGGGGGTTTGGAAAAAAACTAAAGGAATTAAGTTTTTTATCCGACATCGATCTTTTGACGTCGTCCCTTAGTCATTTGCATATGAATGTGTCAGACACAAGGACACACAACCACTGAAAAAAATCATTGATTTTCGTGTTTTCATCTGCTGATTTTATCGAATTATAGCTATCCAATTCCTTTATTTTTTGGTTTCCAAAAGCCTTGCACATTTGGATGCCCCTACACATGTTAAAACAGATCTTGATGTGAAAACAAATTGCTTGTGCAGATAAACAAGCTTGAAAATCTTTGCTGTTACTTCATAGACGTTTTCTAGGAGTTTGTTTTTCAAAATACAAGGTCTTTAACAAAAAATAACGTATACTTATTGTCGTCCAATTAACACCAAATTTTTACAGCTTTAAGGTGACAATGAGAGGAACTTGAATGTGTCAGACAAAAACGACAAATTTTCAGTATAAAATTTATTCATTTTTTAGACTTGTGAAATCAATGTAGTTTATTCACAAGGGAATCTAGGACCAATTGGACTTGTACAGACTCCTTAACAAAATGCACAATGTTGCTGTATAATGGTCAGTCTAGGTATGTGATTCAAATTAGTTGCACTTTATAATCCTGAATGCAGGTTGAAATTTTCCCTTCAAGAGTCCGTTCTGAAAACATGAGTGTTGCAATGTGTTGCAAAGTTGTACAAATGGATCCACACACTGAACACTGTTACCCATCAACAGAGACTGCATACCGGTAAAATACATAAAATGATTTCGTAAAATACAACAAAAACATTGTCGATTGAATATTCATATGCAACCGAACACTTTCACAGCCATCAAATTCTTGAATGTCCAGTGACTTATCGAGCCCCAGTGACTTATCGAGCTGTTGTCCTTCACCCTCAATGTATTCTGCTGAACACAAGTCTTGATATGTGAAATGTATGCGTGTCCTTAACTGCCTTCCAATTCATATTTCATTTCCTCTAAAGATTCATTGATCTTTTCCACCGTCTGTGCCAGCCTGCAATACAGAATGTCATAGCCAATTAAATCATCTTACATTTCACAAAATTCCTTATTCTGGTACCCTCAGATGCGTTGTGACTCTATTTGCGCATGCGTACCGGTAACCTACATAGCAATGGGTGTATAAAAAATAGTTTAGGCAATCAGCTTTCAGTATGCGAACAGATGTTGACACATCAAGTCTGAGTATATTTTTTTTGATAATCAGGTTGCATAGATTACTGTAAAATACTTAATTTTCACTTTTTGTTTTGCTGAAGGGATGATTCATTGATTATAAAATCCAGCAAATATACATTTTTTCTTGTATTAAACATTCAACTCGTCAAAAATCAGTGAAAATAAATTCCATACAAAATGGCAAAAAAATATTTTCAGTGAAAATAAATTCCCGCTAAAATAAAGTATTTTACAGTACTGTATTTTGCTGTAGTTTTCATTGTTGCTGTTTCTTTAATTCTATAAAAGTTGACGAGAAAGCATGTTTTAAACATGTTAATCTAAACTGTTGGTGACAATTCATCCTTTCAAAGCACACAATAATACGTTAGCACAAGCAGTAACGTTTATATAGGCAATGGGTGATGAGCCATTCAAAATTATGTCAAATTATTTAAAGTTGTGCAAATTATTGACATGTGCAACTTGGTGTGGTCACTAAGAAAATTAGGCTTTATAGAATACATTACTGTTTACAATCTATGTCTGAATACCAGCAATATTTTTTAAATATTGTACCGATAATAACGGTTATACAATACTTGTTGGAATATCGACATGAACTCTTTTAAAAGATTATGTGAGTGAGAAAGTGTTCATCTTCAGCTGATTTTCCACAACAAAATGCAATATGGATTGTACGTTAGAATCTAGCCAATCAGAGAGCCCTTTCCAGTTCATGTACATACATAGACGGCAAATAATTCTGTGTCACTGACTGGCTGGCTGTTTTTAGTACATTGCCATGGCAACTAGCATGTGCAGACTGAACCATAAGTACCTGTAAGGCCCCAAGCACTCTAGACCCATTCAATATAATTATTAGATTTTTCAAAGACTCACTATAATAGACAGCATTTAGTATACTGTAAAATACTTTATTTTCACTTGGAATTAATTTTCACTGAAGGAATGATTGAGTGAAAATAAAATCCAGCGAATATACCTTTTTCTTATATTTCACATTCAGCTCATCAAAAAACAGTGAAAATAAATTCCATACATAACACCAAAAAAGTCTTTTCAGCGAAAATTATTTCCAGCTAAAATAAATTATTTTACAGTATATGGATTGGTAGGTATAGCACATATACCCTTCACCTCAACCACCAACACTATGGATTGAAGGATTTTACCTTTGTTTAAGTTCAGGAATATCACGAGCACCAATCTCATCATGTGGATGATCAATTGCATTTTGTTTTGCAAGCTGTAATGCGGCAGTCTGCAAATAAACATAAAATCAAACAAACATTTACCGATAACGTAATAATTTTAGACAAACACAACTGTACTAGGAGGAAATTTTATCATCACCTTTTAAATTGAAAGGTACCGGTAAGTTTTTTTTTCTTATTTTCATAAAAATTGAATTTTCTTTCATTTTATTTTTAAATTTCTGACAAAAACTTGAAAGTCGACTGTAACATTTACATTTTTAAGTGAAGGTTTCAATTGCATTCACTGCCAGTATAAGCTGATATGTGGAGAACTCAATGTAGATCAGTTGGTAGGCACATGGTTAATTGACGATTTTCCGTACAACTGCGAGATCTCAGGAATTGCGTGAAACGTCTGCCGCAAAAATCAAAAGATTTGATTTTGAACTTGATTTTTTTATTTCGTTGCTTACATCAAAAGGCAGATCTCTAACAGGTAAATATTGCGTTTAAATACCCTTACTTCATTGAAATTGCCTATCATCAAATGTGTACAGCACATTATTAAGCAT